CGTGAACTTTTGGTCGGAGAATTTAGCACGCTACTACAGCTGTGGACCTATTCACCTCACACATGGGCAAGGAACTTCCTCGGAGTTGAGTGCACAGTTTGTGATTGAAGGGTAACATTTAGCAAGGACAGAGTAAGGGTAGCAAGGTAACGTCCGTCACGTCTTCCGATTCACTACACACCCCACTTACAAGACTCGCAAAAAATCTCGTACGAACTCAGCCTAGATGACTAGTAGAGGCTGTTACACTCGCAGACGAGCCGGATTCGTTCTGCGAGCCCAACACTTTACAAGGGGTTCGCCACGTCCCTGTTTCAGGAAGTAGCATGAACTTAGCGTATTGGTTGACTTTCACCTTTTCAGTTAATGACGCGGCAAATCCTTCTCTCACTTACACAATCACCGAGGATTTAATCAAGGAAGCCGCAGAACTCTGTGCTCAGATCGTGCTCGAGCAGGACACAATGATTGAAATAGAAGCACCTGTGAATGTACGCTAACATTAGCACACACGCACACTAATTCTCGGCAAAAGTACCTCACAATCTTCAGGTTTGTGGCGACATACATGGCCAGTATCCTGATCTGTTACGGATATTCAATCGATGCGGTTACCCTCCAGACTGTTCCTACCTATTCCTTGGCGATTACATAGACAGGTGAAGCTACCAAGAATTGAGGCAACGAAATAAAACACATGTATACACTACACTGGACGTTTCAGGGGGATGGGCTTGGCGCGACGCCAGCCTGTTTTCCACCAACTCTTGTCACATGCCTGCTTCGACGGTTGGTGGGAAACAGAATAGTAACGCGAAAAACCCACGCCTCCTGACACGCTCCAGTAACCACAGCGAGCAAGACTATACAGGGGGGGGGGGCAAAAAAAGTCACTTCGACCGAGTCACATATCAGCAAAGTTTTCGCAGCCCAGACAGAGGACGTGGATACGAGTACCAGGGCGGAAGATACCCAAGATGTTCCTCGATAAGCAGGAGCTGGCTCTCGCCCATCACCTTCATGTACACCAAAATATGAAGTCATCTCCAGTCGCAGCCTGACTGGAAAGACCTTTGGAATTCACGTCACCTCCAAACAGCTGCGAAACTTCTAGTATGGAGTCACAAATGGATAGCTACCTGGAGACCA